CTCATCGATCTCCCCCATCGAGATTCCGGTGTCGAATCCACTTCACCTCTGCACCTCAAGGCTAGGTAGTTTGTTGGACCTATGCTTGGGAGGGCTGCGGAACCCAGTCTCAAACTTCGGGCACACCGAGAGGGGGGGGGGGGGGATTCATGGCGGCCTCCAGTACATGTGCTGTCTCAACACCCAGTGGGCAAGGAGGCACTTTTGACAGAGTGCAGTGTTTGTGACAATCTGGCAGGCCACTGCTGGACAGCAGCTGCTTGGTCAGTCTTCTGATACTCTTTCTCTCTCTCTCTCTCTCTGTGTCATGAAACTGGTGTTGACGCGGTGTTTCCTTCAAGCAAGTGACCTATGTCGTAGCCTCTTCACCCCCTCCGACACGTACAAATTTAGACTGTAATGCCAACTCAGTCCCATCTGTGCAGCTTTGCACCTCAACTCCTCCGGTGCTTCTACAGGCCCAAGTCAATGTGTCTGCTCTCTGTAGAAAAGTGGGGCTTCTGCCTCTCACAAATTAGAGCTTCTTCACTGGGCTGGGCCGCTTTCGGTCGCTGTGTCTTGGCATTGTGAAGCTCATAACAAGTTTGTTGTAACACCATTCGACTAGACATTCCATCCTGTCTATGTCATTCTTTCTTGCTCTTGTTGTCACAAATAGTGATTGTTTAATTGCAAGGGGAATATTAAATAGACCCAAGTTTTTATTGAATCGACCCACTCATTCTAACAATCATGAAAGAAATGATCTCTGGATTTATTACTCCACTATTGGATTTGCAATCAATTAAAACCAACCACATTCATCACGACTACCATATTTTCATAAAGGGTGGGTATATTTAATAAAAGCATGGATCTATTTAACATTCCCCAATTACAATTACATCAATTAATTGTGAGTTTAAGAATAATTTTGCAAAAACATGTATCATGCTTGCTCCTAAACCTTTTTAATTCACTTGTTCCTCACCTTTGCTTGTGTTTAAGAAAAAATATTTAGTTGCTTCAATTTTTGTGAGCAACTGAGTGATGGGCAACCAATTGTTAGAAGTCCCTACAATAAAAGTAAGAAAGTTGGACACAATTAAAAAGTAGTAGGGTTTATAAAATATAAATAAAAAATTATTTGTGATCAATTTGACAAGATTGATGGATTGGTTTTAATTCAAAGGTTCCATTGTGAAGAGTTATTTGGAGTTTTGTTCATCTGTTACTGAGTGCCAAATGGGTACCTATTCTACTACCTTTGTTGTAGTTGGTTATGCAACAATAAAAAAAAGTAATGTAGTATCACATAGTAGAACCTTTGTTTTTGTATATATATAACATTGAAAAATAATTACTTTACACATTCAAAGGGTGAAGTTTTCATGTTAAATTAAAATAATTAACAATTGATAAATTGTTAACAGTTTATAGTTCACTAAACTATAGATAAAAATATTAATTTTATCAATAAATTAATATTTATATTAAAACCAGCAAATAATTAGTTAAACAACAGCCATAATATTAATAATAAGGATAACAAAAAAGAAATATAAATTAAACAATTATTGAATTAAAACCTTCAGACTTACTCTTCTATTACAATATACATTTTGTATTGTATTTATAAATTTGATAAATAGTTGCTACAATAATTACATTAAAGATACTAAATGAAAAACATATATATATATATATATATATATATATATATAAAGATGATATTAAAATTATATTTATGTAATGTTATATAGAATAAAGCATTAACGGTTTTATAAATGATTTAGTTCATGATATTATAATATAGTTTATTGATATAAATTAAAGTTTATAAAATAACTTCATAAACTCACTTAACAAATTTACTAGTTTTTTAAATTTATAATAGACAAGACTGTTATTATTCTATAATTAAAATTTGTTTTTAATACATATACATGTCTTGATGTATTCTACTACAATATATAATATATTATTATATATAAGTATCTAGGGAATATTTTGTATATATTTATATATATATATATATATTTTGTATATATATATATTTATGGCATGAAATTTATATGTATTAATTTTATCTAAAGAAATATATATAAAAAATAGTGCTATTGTGGATGGCACTTTAGCATTTTTTAAATCTAAAAATACTAAAAAAACATATTTTTATTATTAATTAGAATATCGAAAAATAAAAATAAATTGCAATATTTATAACATTTTATAATAAAAATTAACACCGTATTCAGCATGTTCAGGGGGGAAAAAAATTACAGTTTTTTATAGGAGAAAAAATAACTATTAAAATGATTTGTGTAGTTTCAAAAAAAATTTGTAAATTAATTCTAAAAGTAAATTGCTAATAAAATTAATCTGAAGTTAAAATAATCAAATCAAGTTTAAGAGGTTGATATAATTTTTAATAAGTAATGCTCTTAATTTTATAATAGTATCAATTAGGATAGAGAGATAATTTTGATATTTAAAACTAAGTTCTTAAAACTAAAAGTAGAAACCAACACCTAATAGTGGAATGATTTAATATATTAAAAAAAATTAAGTTAACAATTGTTGGATATGTAGATGTATCCCAATTACTTGACAACACTTTATTTATATTCTTTGCTTAGCTAAAAGTATTTGCTAGAATATGTATTGCTCTTAGATTGTAAACTAACATTCTTTAATTAATATTTTTGCATAATTTATAAAATTTATATCTAACAAAGTTATAGATTAAGCATAATACATTTATAAGTGAGATGTTGCATTTTATGTATTTGATATGTAGTATAAAATTTCAAGTAAACTAGTGCATTAAAGAGACATCATTTAATGCTTTTAAATAATCAATGTATTTTTTTTTCAATAACCTTGAATAGTGTTTTGAGAAAATGAAGCCATCATCTATATCTTGATATAGTTATTTAATTCAACTTAGATATTTTACAAAATAATAAATATCTATTTTATTTTAAAGAAAATATTAGCATACTGTTTGTTAACTTTATATTAAATATAATACAAAACTTTAGTTACATAAGAGCAAAAATATTCTAAATCTTATATATATTTATATTTATATATAATTTAGATTTATCAAAATATTAATAAAGAAGATATACTTGTTAGTTGTTATGATGTTTATTATGGCTTTTTTACCTCATTTTGACACATCTTATCAATATTATGGCTCTTTGTTTTTATTTCAATTTTACTTGTATATTTTTAATTTTTATTATTCACAATTGTTCCTTATTTGGTATTATTCTTAAGATATCAATAGCAATACTTTAAAATTATTCTTTGATTTGATTGCCTTAGAATAAATGATGTATGCAAATGCAATCATTTTTTTAAATAAGTTTAATTAGCTTGACAAGAACATAATTGATATAGTAGATTTGGTTATTAGTCACAAATATTGTACAAATTGGCAGTCTTCCAAATCCCAAAATATTCACCATAGAACAATTTCGTGAATATAATATTGTAAGTTCCCTCTTTATAATCAAATTATGCACACTTTTCTGCATAAATATTCTAATAATAAGGTATTAAAAGATGTGATGAAGACCATCCATATATTGTTTGGAATGAATTAACACAACAAGAAAACATCTGGTATGTTTATTCTACTTTGTATGTTTAAATGTGATCATACTTTGTTGAATCAAAGTGGTATAGTCAAAAGTTGGTTTCTACAACATTATATTTTTACTTTTGACCTCTTTCGACAACTTTTCTCAATTAATGCACAACAATATTTACTATATATTTTTTACTCATACAATTATATATATATATATATATATATATATATACACACACACACACACATACTTGCATGCATTTGTAGCTTGTTTGTGGCACATAATAGATTCTACAACATAGAACTTACTACAACAATCTCATACATGACTATGATCTAAAGTTTTAACTCTTCTTTTCCATTCCCTTTTTTTCCCCATTGTTTTCTTTTATCTTTCCCATCTTTTCCTTTACTCCACTTATTATTTTTTGTTGGGTCCCAGGCAATGGTTCCCACGAGGCAGAGTTCATTCCCTTTGCATATACCAGGATTCAATTTAAGCTGTCACCCCCCCCCAAATCTGGGGACTTCCAAGATAACCGTCCATCCTTTTTTTTTTTTTTTTTTTTCTTTTTCTATTTTATTATTCCCCTAACTAACTATGGAGGGAAATAAAAGAGAGGAAGGGATAGGAAGAATAAACCCCTAAAAGCACCACTACCATTACTTACTTCCTTGCATCTCCCCCCTCCCCCTTCACTAATTTCTTCACTCCAATTAGTTGCTCCAAAGGTTTAACTTTCACACAACACAAAGAAATTAGAAATAATAATTAAAAAGAAAAGGGGGAAAAGAATAAGGGGAAGAAGGAACAAGGGTGTGGCACTTCTCGCCACCTACTTGGCACACCAACAACAACACCACCACCACCACCACTTGGACCACAACCCACTATTTAGGGTTTAGCGTGTTTGCACACCATATCCACGGCATTCTATCCATGGATGAATGATATATATAAAAAGGAAATTGCGAGAGGGAGAGAGATAGTACAACTGTGGACTTTTTGCACAGGAGGCCCCATTAAAAACGTTTCCCCGTCTGCCACAACGCGATAAAACAATGTTCCCAGCAGCGTCAGGTTCCCGGGGGAAGGGAACGTGGGAACGTGGTGTTGGTGGTGGCGTACAACAGTTAACCGATACAGCAATAAAGCAAAGACGAGTGAGTGAGTGAGTGAGCAGAAGAAACTGCGTCACCCAGCTGGCTATGGACATCTGAATGGAGAAAAAGATAAAGAGGAAGAGTGGAAAGAAGGGAAAGAAAGGAAAGAAAGGAAAGAAAGAGGTGTATAAAACATTAAATATAACGAAAGAACAATATCATGAAAGTATTGGAAGGAGAATGTGGAAAAGAGGGAAGGAGATATACAACGCAGCAGCAACATGAATTATACGACAACAATTAGTTAAGGGCAGGGGACTCATGCTGCGGCGTGTGCTACAAATGTTACCTTTCCCCCTGTCCAAGACGAGCGCTTCCCATTTGGAACTAGTAGTAGTAGTAGTAGCAGCCCACTTGCGAAGTCTCTCGCTCTCCCCCGCTGGCTGGCTGGGTGGCTCGCAGTCTTTGATTGTCTTTTAAGGTTTTTATTATCGTGGAGATGTGTTACTACTCTTAGGTCTGCGTCTGATCTCTCTCTCTCTCTCTCTCTCTCTCTGTCCCTCACTCGCACTTGCACTCGCACTCGCACTCGCACTCACTTCATTGCATTCCATTCCATTCCATCTCATTTCATCTCGCTCTCTCGCTCTCGGTTTTTGGCTCGCTATTTGCCGGTCTGTTTGCCTGTCTGCCTATCTCTCTTGGTTGCTTGTGTGCTTGTGAGCGAGCTCGCTGGCTATGGCGGATTCCCAGCTTTGAGTTATCAAACGTACGTTCTGCGTTGTTCTTGCCTTTGCATTGGTGGGTTTCTTGTGTGTTTGAGGTTATGGTGTTGTTGTTCTGCTGTGGAGTTTGGCGGGGTGGGGTGTGGTGGTAGCTGGACTGAGTTGTCGTTATTGACGTGGTGGTGGTGGTGGTGGAGGGAGTGAGATTGTGTCGGATTCTGGACTGAGGAGAGGTTTTGTCCGAGTGGTGATGTGTGCGGGTGCTGTGGAGGAGTGCACTTGGGCGATTTTGTGTTGAGTCGTAGAGTTGTGGTGAAATTCGAATTGCGTGATTGGGTTGGAGTGTTGCTTGGGTTTGATAGATCTCTGTTGATGCGGCTCGCTGGAGTTTGTTGCGCGCAGATTGAGCTTGCTGTATTGTCTTCTCGATTCAATTCTTTAGTCACACGGTTGTATGCAGGTATGTGCGTTTAGATCTCTGTTGTCAGTGGGCGCTAGTGTTGTTGGATGTGCGAGTGAGTTTTCTCTGCTGCTCCTTGCTCCCTTTCTTCCGGGCATCAATTTGGAGTCATCTCACTTTCGAATATTCCCTAATTATTTTGTGAATTGCAGATCGTGCAGCCGACATCTATTGGCTAGGAGAAAGCGTTGAAGGCGTAATTTTGGACTTGTACTTAGCATACCTGACGAGTGGGAAGTAGATTCGTTTAAGCAAGTGTGTGGGTCGATCAACGTCAAGCTGATGCGGGATCGTATTGCAAATGGTGGTGAGAGGCGGATCCCTCAAGGAACGCTTGATATGATGTCGGATACGTGGGAATTAACTCCAAACTGTTTAAATCCTGTAAGCATTCTCCTGGTTTGATTCTCCGACCATTGTAGGTCTTGCACCTTCCCGCGGAACTCTCTGCGAATCTTCACAGAATTTCTATCCCCTACATGTACCAAACTACGCATCATGTGAGGCTGTCGGTTCTAGCGATAGAAACTTTCGCAGATAACCATTCATTGGTTTGCAAGTGGGGTACAAATTGTAGCCTCGTGCGGAGCAGGATGCTTTCTTGAGTAGATCTCAAAAGATTGTGCCAATATTTACACGATCCGCCGTACAACTTTTTGCTAAGTTTTGCTTTTCTTCCGAGGCTATCTTCATGTAACACTCTACCTTGCGGTAATCGAGTGACTACTGCAGCGAACATTATGTTTTCGCAGCTGTGGATCCCCTACATCACAGTCTGGAACGATTTCTCGACAGAAAGGACTGAATATTTGGTTGATGTATTCAGATGTTGAGCGACAAGTTGCCGAAGTCGGAACCCGAAGTAGCCATGAAAACCGCTACGGATGGCCTCTGGATCCCTGGACCTAATAATGATGAATACCCGGCTACAAAACATAAAGGAGCTAACAAAGTTCCATTTATAATTGGTACGTTGTGTAGGTGTCCAGCATTGTGAGATTGTGGTGCGAATTACGTCTTGGTAGTGGGAATTACTCAAATTTTTAGCTTTTTCTGAACAGGAGTGGCTGGGGGTACTGCATCTGGAAAGACCACCGTGTGTGATATGATCATTCAGCAGCTTCATGATCATCGTGTTGTCCTCGTCAACCAAGACTCGTTTTACCGGGGCCTAACGGCTGAAGAAAAGGCGAAAGTGGGTGAATACAATTTTGATCATCCAGGTTGGATTAATACTGTGACGGCCTTAAAATGCTTATTTCACTTTTTAAGTTTTTTCTCTCTATAATTGGCAATCCTAACAAGTGGAAAGTTCATGATGACATTAGTCGTTCTCCGGGCATCCGTTTTATTTGGATTAGCCCTACTCTACATGTTTCGCTGGATGGTACTCTTATCTGGCAGCAGAGTCTGTTTTGATCTCGTGGTTGCATGCATAGTTACATGAACCCCCTAAATATTTCCTCGTCTCTTTTGTTTATGCCTAATGGATCCCATGGCTAATTAGATTTTAACTTTCAGTTGTCTGGGAGGACTTCGTTCAATACTTATTGAGATTCGTTCATGTGGTTAGACGCATTTGATACGGAGCAGCTACTTGAATGCCTGGAGAATTTGAAAGCTAATCTGCCAATTAACATACCTGAGTATGATTTCAAGAGGCATCAACGCTGCACTGACAAGTTTCGCAAGGTGATTCTTTAAGTACCATGCTGCCAGTTCATTAGTTTGTGGATGTTTGCTCATTTTTGGTCGACGATGCGTGAATAATTAAGAGCAAACCATACCATGCTGCTAAAAGTTCCTGGTCACCTGCAGGTCAATGCATCTGATGTAATTATTGTGGAGGGAATATTGATCTTTCATGATGCTCGTGTTCGGGAGTACATGAATATGAAGATCTTTGTTGATACAGGTCAGCATTGAGAATCATTACCCAGTTTTATATAGCTCTTGGTCTCATTCTAATGTGTGTTTGAGGTCACCTTTGTTAGTTTCTTGAATGAGTTAGATATTCTGCACCTACTGCACAACCCGTTATGAGTTGGCTCTTGAAGCCAGAGACGTGTCGGCTCGGACACTCATCTTGAACAGTGCAGTGCAGATGCTGATGTGAGGCTAGCGAGGAGGATAAGACGGGACACTCTGGAGAGAGGCAGGGATGTCAATGGTGTCATTGAGCAGGCAAGTTAAGCAATGCTTTAACTGGCCCCTCAGTTTCAAAACCTAATACGGATCTAAATGTTTAGTCTCTTTTACTTCCATACAGCTCAACTTTGCGGCCTGTGTTGGATTATCACACACGTTAATGTATATTACGATGTTGAGCCCAACATGGAGTTAAATCGCTGGTACTGATCAAACGTTCGTCTTTAATTTTTCTTGCTTTTTGATGTGAAACCTTGATACTTTCATGACTCTTAATTGCACGTTGTGATTAGTTTCTTAGACTTTTGTGCCCCCGAATTGTGGACTTAGCCTAAATTTGTGCGTATTCATGCAGTACGGGAAGTTTGTAAAACCCGCTTTTGATGACTTTGTGCTACCAACGAAAAAGTATGCGGATGTGATATTGCCCCGTGGAGGAGACAACCACGTGGCTATTGATCTTATTGTGCAACATATCCGCACAAAACTTGGCCAACATGACCTTCGCAAGATCTACCCAAACGTTTTTGTGATACAGTCTACTTTCCAGGTGAGTTGAGTCTGACAACATTTCCACGCAAATGGTACTGGAGTTAGATTTATCTCCAATTTCTCATCCTTGGATAGGTCTTCTTTCGCGACATGAAAATGAACACTTTTAAGAATGAAAATTTGAAGGTTATTAACAGGTCGCTTTTCCGTCCTGCCTCTTAAGGTCCGGGGTATGCATACCCTGATTCGGGATCAAGAGACACAAAAGCATGACTTCGTCTTCTATGCTGATCGTTTAATTCGATTGGTAAGTCATTCATACAATGTGTTGTACTTTCATCTCTTCTGCATCGATATTCTTTCGCCCCAGTCACCACAATACTAAAGCCTTCCGCACAAGATTGTATGCGACCACTGGGCTTTTAGTGCCAACAGCTGATTTGGTTGAAGTTGATATTCATTTATAGGTAGTGGAGCATGGACTAGGTCATTTGCCGTTCACTGAAAAACAAGTCATCACGCCAACAGGTGCGACACAAGCCATATACCGTGTCGAGGTTAATTACTAGCAGTATGGAAACAGATCAGCTCACCTCATTCCCATTTGAGCGTCAGGGATAATCATGAAACTTGCTAATTGTGCGTTTCCTGGGGCTTGGCAACAATTTCAGGGTCAATATATGTTGGAGTAGACTTCTGCAAACAACTTTGTGGTGTCTCCATAATAAGGAGGTATTATTCCTCATTACGAGTTACCACCAGTGATTATGTGAATTGGCTGTGTGGAACTGGTATGTGGGGCTGATCTAATGTCATTACAAGTGAGTTGCTAATTATTATTGTCGGGTTCTGCAAACTAGCGGGGAGAGCATGGAGAATGCACTGCGGGCGTGCTGCAAAGGCATCAAGATTGGAAAGATTTTGATACATCGCGAAGGAGATAATGGGCAACAGGTATCAGTCAATTTAATCGTGTTGGATGGTGTTCACTATTTTTCCCTGATTGTACGAATATTCACTCTTCATTTGGTTCAGTAATGATCAGTCTTAGACTTCCAGCGAGGTCAACAATGCAACTCATCCTTTGTTTAGGCTGACTTAATTTTTGCACTTTGCAGCTTATCTATGAAAAACTGCCCCGTGATATAGCCGATCGGCATGTTCTACTTATGGACCCTATTTTGGGAACAGGTTCGACCTTAATCTTCTGACCCTCTAGACCAGACCCGTCCATTCCAGGCTTTTGTGGTTTACTGGACTGGTTTCTGAATCAAACCTCAATATGTCTTATCCCTTGTGTTGAAATATTGTTGTCATTCTAATGCTCCAATTACATGCTAAGAATCCACGGATGTATTCCTTATTGTAGGAAATTCGGCTATTCAAGCTATATTGTTGCTACTTCAGAAAGGAGTACCTGAGTCTCATATAATATTTTTGAACCTTATATCGGTAAGTTTCATTTTTCCTACGTTGAGCAACGTTGGGAGTTCCATTGGTTCGATAGGATTATGACAACTCGATGTCGCGTTCCTGATCCCTGTTCTTGCTGTTTCCGCAGGCTCCGGAGGGCATTCATGCTGTGTGCAAGAAGTTCCCTCTTTTGAAGATTGTTACCACAGAAATTGATGCTGGGTTAAATGATGAATTTCGTGTAGTACCTGGAATGGGTGAATTTGGAGACCGGTACTTTGGCACCGATGACGATGGACCAGAGCGAATGTACAGAGTCCCGATTGAAACCAAACCCTCACAAGCGCAGTGTACCCCTTTGAAGAGTCTAAGTAATGGCAAATGTTAAGTATACATATTAGCCCGATCACATGGTGGAAGCAGACAGGCACAATGTTGGAGAGCTTTACATTTTCGGGAATATCCGGGAATCTTCAGTATTGTAAGGCTTAAAGCTTGGCATTTTCTTTTACAGACTAAGCGTACGGGAAGGAGCAACCTCCTTGTACTCAAACATGCATTTGAGGTTTGTACAGTGTTTTCAAGCCAGAGATGCAGTATAATTCTGTCTTTTCACGTAATAATTTCTGTGCTCTCCAATGACTAGTGTTTGCGCTTGATTTTTGAGGTCTTAAACGCTGTCGTGTGTTGGTTTGGAACCTCCTGTCCGCTCATGGGTACTTTATTAATTAAATTCAGCTGAATTGTAAAAACTTCCCTAGGTGGTGAGGCATCGAACAATTTATCAGGGGTTCTAGAGTGGCATGTCTCATTTCATCATTATATCCCATTATCCCTCTGACGCTGTGACTATTGATATAATGGAATGATGTTTACTACTTGCCAGTTTTGTGGAGAGGCACAAAACGCCAAGCCCGTAAGAAATAACTTATTTGCATGGGTGATTAAGAAAAACACCCACGTTGTCAGTGTCACGACATGCACGCGCATTATGGCTCAGTCAAACGCAAGGGAGGAAACTCACTGACGGTGTTGCTTGTAATGGTATAACACATGTCCAAACTGGAGAGCGTAGACGCCATACGAACCACAGACCTTATGAAGAAATGGTGCGGTGCACAGTTATGTGAGCAATAATTTTTGAAAGGATCGACTGGTACCGACTGACAGCACAAGATTCAACCTTGATTTTCAACGTCCACTTTTGCAGTCTGGAACTGGGTTCAAGATTCCACAGCTCGGGGCTAGCTGCTCATTCCTAACTCCGACACTCCAGCAAAAAATCACACCAACATCAGGAGGAACATGGGGCATAGAAGCGGTCTCAGCTGGGTATCAGACACAGAGAGCAGCTAAACGAGCCAGAATAGCATTCTCTCAGCAGTGTAGATGGGGAGCCATGCCAAAGCAGGACCCACATGAGCTGGATTGCAATGGGACGAAGAAAAGGCAGATCAACACACCATCTCCCGTTGCGTGTGTGTGTGAAAAGATGCCACAACCCAAACAAGCATGTGAAAGATGCAACAAGTTCGGAAGCTTGCTGGAGCAAGCAAGCGCTGTCCTCACAAAGTCGCAGATTTTTACTGTGGCTTCGGAGTAGTTGATGAGGTTGTGATCCATCAATTGTAAGCTGAAAGGTGTGTGAATTCTACGTTCAGTTCTATGCCCCTTTTATTGGCAGTAATAATCATGTGCGTTTGTTCTCTGTCGGCGTTAGTTTGTGGGCAACGTAAAAACTTTCCTTTCGTTGATTTTTGTTTTGGAAGTTATGTTTGTTATATATATATATATATATATATATAGAGAGAGAGAGAGAGAGAGAGAGGAATGTTAAATAGACCACAGATTTTACTAAATTAACCCACCTATAATGAAAAAAATAAATGACCTCTAGAATCATTTCTCTATTACTACATCCGTAACCACATTCTACACACTGGTGTGTGAATGCATTATTTTTATCTTCTATTTTAATATATATTCTTTTATAGGTATAAGTTTATTTTTTTATTTTCTTTAAAGATATATGTAAACACCATAATTTGAAATTGGTAGTTTCAACACAATAGTTGTAGGAATAAAAATGAATGGTAGAATAATACATTAAAATAATAAATACGTTTTTTTAAGTCTATAACAATGCAAGTGCAAGATCAAAGAACCAAGAACAAAAATCATATAAAAATTTAGATATGAAGATGTTACATTTTATACAATATATTGTTGAATTATTTCTACAAAATCAGCATTAGAATAATAGTTTTGATCTTCTTATGCTTCCCAAATGTGTAAGCAATGTAAAAATTGATTCTATAAAAGAAACAAAAAAATTATAATAAATAAAATTTAAAAACTACTGTAATTATTAAATACATAATTTTTAAAACAAAGATTATATCAAAGCTATAATTTTTATTATTTAATAAATATTTCTATTTGCATAGAAATTTGGAATAATTAAAAACAAAGTTGAACATTTTGTAAGCATGAAATTTATAGGCACATGCGTTAAGCATAATTTCAACACACATAATTGTTATTATTTACATTACTAGTATATAATTTCATGAGTTTTTTTTATACTTCTCTAAAATTTATTTTTTCTATCACATCAAAAACACATACATAAGAACACATTGATTTTATGTACAATTTAATAGTACAAAGTTTAACCTATAAATGTTTTTAAAAATTATATATATATATATATATATATATATATATAATCTATCATATATAAAATTATACTTATAATTTATAAATTCTCTTCTTTTCAAGTATAAAAAATAATGAGATTGCCTACTTAAGTTAATTTTATAGCAGAGTGCAACTATCTTCTCAAATGTAATTTTTTCTCCTCAAACTGCTTTACTCTAAACTTATGATTAAGTTTTTGGTTTTGATTTTGGTTTTTATTTATATTCTTTCTTAATGGTTTGTCTATTTCTTTTGCTGTATTTTATATAATGCATGTTTCTTTGTCTCCAATATATTATTTTATGCATTATTAAACTAATATGGTTTTATGTACACCTTAATATTTTTATCACTTATGACATAAATATAAAAGAAGAGAAAATAAAAGATTGCCTAAACATTATGAATCAAAGTATAATACATGATTATATATTCCTATTGATTGTAGTTAAGTACATTTCTTATATCTCTAAAGGTTGTATTTTAGATTATGTATTGTTGATTATAAATTGATGTTTATGATGAGATTTTTTGAATATTTAAGATATTAAATCATTGATAGAATTTTTTCATGTAGTAGGTTTTTTTTGTAGTTTTTCATTCAAGATCTAATATATCTTTTTGAATTTAAATCATACAAACAAATTATATAAAAAAAACCCTACTATATATATATATATATATATATATCAAGGAAAGAAGAGCAAGAGACTAAAAAAGTCAAGAAATATAACAGAAATATGATGTTAGATAAAAAATAAAAATAAAAATAAAATAAAAACACAAGATTCAAAAATAAAATTAAGATATCAATTTAATTATTCCTAAATTTGTTTTTACTAGACTAAAATACACAATTTCTTTATCTTTTATTCATATTTTAGCAACTAAGTCTTGTAAAGGCTTTTTAGAGAGATTCTAAGAACCAAAGAACATTCTAGAAATTTAAACAATCTTGTCTAGAAAGTTTTAAAAGATAAAAGGTCTTAGATAGCTGTAGAAGACCATAGAAGCTCCTTACAGGTAATAGAATGTTTTTAGAAATTTCTAAATATTAATAAACTATTTAAAAATATCATACAACATTTTAAGATTTTCTGAAGATTCTTAAAGAGAGACAAAAATAATTACAAGACTAACAAAATTAATAAGATTATAGAAGTTTTTAAAAAAATCTAAAAAATACTTATAATTTTATTTGATTTAATATCCAATACCTTTTATATTTATTTCATTTCTAGATATAATTTTATGATTAGTTTCTTTTCTTTTCTTTTCTTTTTAATAATACTCTTTTAATGTTTATAATTTTTTGATATCTCCAACCAATCCAAGAACATGCTTTTAGCAATTTCAATCCATAAATTTCAATTTCCAGTAAAACCTTGTATATAACCATCTATATCTATTTTATTAATTGTATGATTTTTTTGTATTGCCTTACCTAAAGTAATTGTTTCACAATTTGTAGGGCATGTGTCGTTACTCAAAGTTATACCAAATAAAGAGAGGGAAAAAATAAAATAAAATAATGTCCTTCTATTGTATCTTGTTTCTCATAAGCATAAATAAACCCATTTACTACTATAAAAATAAATAAATATTTAAAAAAAAACATTATTTCACAATTGAAATAAAAATAATAATAGTCACACCATGTCAATACCATTGGTGCTATTAGATGCTACTAGTAGATCAATGGCATTTCAAAATAATTTTAAATTAGGTATATTTAAATACTTAAATATATTTAAATATTTAACCAATATTTAAATACTAAAATAGCAAACACAGCCCAACAAGCAATATTGATTGTGCCATTGCCAAAAGAGGGTTTTATTAAGCACAAAAATCACATTGTTGACCTATAGTTAGGACAATCCTTAGCAATCTGGCATTAAAATTAAATAAAAAGAAAACCATGTCAAGCAGATGCCATTAAATGCTTGACAGACTCACATATCCTTGCAAATCAATCTTTTAAATTAGTGTTGTGAGCTGCTTTATACAAAAGCAACAATAAGTAAAAATCTGTTTAACTGCATTACACAACTCTTAATATACAGCATGTTTCTAAATATATATTTCTATGTCAAAATAAGGCGTACACATGTGTGTGTGAATTTTTGGAATTTATATGTCATAAAATTGTGTAAGTTCTTTTCATATACATTCAAGAAAAATATAGTTGTTTTAAATTCAACCAATGATAATAAATTATATTTATAAAGACAGACATTAATTATTCTATTTAGTTAAATTGAATTTATATATTTTCAGACATACATATTATAAAAAGAAAAAAAAAATATATATATATATATATATATATATATATCTCAAATATACTGAAATATCAAGAATATCCATATATTCTTGATAATAACAAATCTATGCCTTGGTTTTGTAATAGCAAATCTACCTTCAAATATAATAAGATAAATGAGAGAAGGTCAAGGTAGAAGACATGGAATACATATTCATGTGAGGAGTATCAAAAAAGAAGAATAGAGTTATAGTATTTATTTTTAGGCTTTTAGAGGCATTCTCCATTGAGCAAACCTTGTTGTTTGTACCAAAGCTAGTAGAATGGAATAGACAACCAAACAAGGGCTCATTTCACACAAAGATAGAATGCTCTACAGAATAAAAAGATATTAAGTTGCCAATTCCATATCCATAACAAGCCTCTATAAGTTGCTCCATGAATTCCAAATCCTTCTTAAGTGGAACAACATAAGAAGTACAAACATAGAAACTTAAGTCATCCTTACGGCTCCTCAAGGTGGTGCTATTAAGAATGTTGAGGTTAATTAGTTGCTCATAGTACAAGACATGAAGAAGAGATTTTGCTCATATAGACAACAATGTTCAAATTTTATTCTAAGGATGATTGAAACTATTTCTAAAACATTGCAATCCTCTAAGATCAAATATGAGCACAACTAAATCATTGAAAATTAGCATGAGATTGAAGCTCAATGGCTAAAATTCCAAGTTTTATTTTGCTTCTCCACTCTTCCTAGAAAATGATTTCAAACTCATTCTATTATACCATGTTTTCTTTGCAATACAATGAGACTTTGATGCATAAGGTAGGTGCTTACTCCTCCACATGCTAGCTAATTTATTTTTATTAGCTAATAAGAAGAAAAGTGAATGAAAATCAATTTGATTGGTACCCTCAAATTTGGGCATAGGTTTTGGAGCTATGGATTGATATCTTGATATTACATGGTTTATCTTTAAAGGAAACATGGAAATACTTGTTTGCATTACTAACATACACCTTCATGTTTGATAAAAGAGATGGAGGCAAGGCAAAATTTGTCAAAAAAAAAACATGCCAAAATCTATGCAACACATTGTTTGGACTTCAAAATTTGACTAAAATAAAAAGAATAGTAATGCCTTGTCACATTCAAGGATAGATTTTCTATTATTACAAAATTGACAAGTAGATTTGTTATTATCAAGAATACAAGGATATTCTTGAAATTTTAGCATATTTGAGGGATATATATGATGATTATTCATACAAAAAAAAATAAGCTTGATGTTATGTTTTAAATTCTATCATTAATATTAAGTTTAATAATTATAGGCTCAAATAGATAAATAATTATTTATATTGATAAATGAACTATTGTAGTAAAATCTTCATGTCAAAAAAAATTCTTATATATTTAAAAAGTAATGTTTGAATAATTCATATAGTTTTAGACTATCTGGTGAAATAATTTTAAAAATAAAATGACATATCTTTGTAACAAATGATAAGATATCAAAATTTAATAATCTTTATCAATCTATAAAAAAAATAAAAATAAAAAAATAAAGTTCATATATTTGAACTATTTATTCAGATATCATTTATACATTATTTAGATACACATGTTTTATATTATTTTTTAGGCAAAATATTATATTTTTTCCTAAAATATATTGAAATATCAAAAATATCCTTAAATTCTTCATAATAGCAAATATACCTTATACTTTTGTGATAATTACAAATCTATCTTTAAGCTTGATAAGGTATAATTTTCTTTCCATTTTGAATGAATCCAAGGCCTAAATCAAATACCGCATTATTTTTGGCATAGGTCAATCTCCTACAAACCGGATATTGATGCTACCATTGCCGATGCTGGCTTAAATATTGTGAAGTCTGTCAAGAATGGAAAATTTTCATAGTGTGCAATAGTGATGGCGTGGTTGAACATGATGATGAGACTTTTGAAGCTTTATGGCCTTGGTTCAAAACCTATTTTAGTCAATCGAATAACTTCAATGGAATTAGAGAATGAGGTGAATAATCCAAAATTGCATACGTAAAATTCTATGATACTTGAACCATTGCACAAAGCTTCAACTAAAGGAGGCATTTGCATAAACAAGCTCAAGGTAACAAACATCCACATCAAAAATCTTATTTTAGCCATAACCATCACCAAAACCATCTTTTCTTCAATAAGGCTTTAACATCTTCTAAAATCCTATACAATCTAGTATATTCCTATTCCAATCTTGTAGCTCAAGTAATGACTAATTTTTATACATTGATCAATTTTGAAGACTTATAGATAATAGGCATCTATGTTGCCATTCAACAACATGTTCTTCTACTTCAAATTCAATCAAAGGAGAATATAAGAAGCTAAATTCAATATAGTGAGGGAAAATGAGAAACTTGGCAATGTTTTTGAATACAAACCAACCAACAATGATTAGGATCCATAATCTTGAAGCATTTAAAATGTGCAAAAAGAAATGGGTAAAACAATAGCAACTCCCTAAAAAGTGTGATGATTGATATAGATATCACCATGAAAGGATTGCAAGAGAGATGTTTTGAAGCCACAAGCTTACTTATAAGCACATTTGTAGTAGTCCAAGATGAGTAGAAGATGATCCTAGTACAAATATTGGAATTGCTTCAATTGCAAATTATAGAAATGGATGTAGACCTTTGTGTAGTACATAGAAATGGCAAGTATTATTGATAAAGACCATTTACTTGCCAACTCTATCCAATCACCATCATTGCTCAACAAAAGTGTGCATGAAATATAATAAAAATTATAGATAAGAATAAATGAATTCTTAGTTTTTAGAAAATAAAAAAATAAAAAATAAAAAATATCCAAATCAAAACTTATCTTATGTCTCAGGTGACATTAAGGTCAAATCTCTATAGCCCGTATGCAATTATGATTGGTAGGCTTCTAGCATCTTATGCAAATTGATAACTAAGGTTGTTAAGTGTGCCATGCTTATAGTCTTAGGAAGTCAACTTAATTCTTCTTACATTGATTTACACAAAGACTTTTTGGCTTTATATGGAATAAAGAGAAAGATCACCATGGTTTAGAACTTGTGCATACAAACTAATGAACTATGGCTAGCTTGATCTACTTCTTAGGCGATCTTTCCATATTATAAATATTTATGATTCTATTAAAATCCAATTCCAAATAAATATATGAAAAAACATGATATTAAGTTGAGTAGCTAAACATATACATTTCTTAAATAAAGACTCATCATAGCTAAAAATTTATCATAAAAGGTATATAGATCCTTTAATCAAGAGACAAAGCATTTAAATTACCAACACTAAAAAAATTAGCAAACTACAGCTTTGGTTATGATTCATTCATTGAGTGGAACTTATCAAAATTTGCAATGCTCTTAGCCAACTTAGGAATCAAAATGCTTTGTGAATTCATTTGCTACTCACTTTTAGTATGCATGCAATTGTTCTCTCCTAACCATTGCAAACTAACAAATTTTAGTATCAAGTAAGCAAATGTGGTGTAATGCCTAGAGTACAACATATATTGCCCATAAAGCCACCAAGTGTTGTCCAAACAAAAAATGTTGTTATTGAATTCAAACTTGATTGTCTAGCTTGTAAAAATATTGATGCTATCAACAAAGGCAATGAGTAGATAACAAAGAGGATACTATGGCAGAGGCAGTGATAGCAGCATCAATGTTTAGTTTATAAAAGGCCAGACCTATGCTAAAAAGTACAATACTTGGTTTGGATCCTAGATTCATCCAAAATAGAAAGAAAGTTGTACCTTATCAAGTTCAAGGGTAGATTTGCAATTATCACAAAAGTAAGGAATATATTTGCTATTATCAAGAATTTAGGGATGTTCTTGATATTTCAACATATTTTAGTGGTACATATGATATTTTTCCTATTTTTTAAAACCATTGTCACTACTTAGGACAATTTGAAGATTTTCCATATTATTTTAATAAATATTTAATTAAATAATTTTTATTTTTTATTTTTGAAAGTAAGTAGATTTTATTGTTATTTGTAAAATTATAACATTTTGATGTTTATAAATCAACTAGTTCGAAACTGATAGTGTGCTGATTTTTATTTATAATATTGTAATTTTCACAAAATTTTCAAAAAAAATAAAATATAAAAAACATTACAACACAATTGCAAAGTTGACATATTAAAAAGCATCCAATCAAGGAATCAATTTTAAAAATTTAAATTACAAATTATTAACATTAACATTATAATTACCTTATTCCAATGCATCAAATAAATTTCACAATTTTTTTCTCTCATCCCATGTTATCACTATTACAATAATCAAAATGAAAACCTAAATTAGGGTATTGGATTCAATGTGCCTTCGTCTCTCTCCTGAGACACTATCGAAGCAATGCCCGAAACCTTAATTTTGCTTCGACCTTCCTTTTTTCGTTGTTGCCAAGCCCACGCGTCATTGAAATCCACTGTTTAGAACCTTATTCTCATGATTTGTCGCGGTTTTTCGAGTATGGGACGATGAATTAGGTTTTCAGCGAACAATTACGTCAATCGGAAAATGAAGACATAGCACATTGATGCCGGAATTTCGTGGGATTTACTGTCTGATCGGGTGCTCGGGAAGGTGTCGGAAATGCGTGCACGGATCCAGTTGGTGTTGTACCAACATTCGCTCCATTGATGCGGAGCGTTTGATTTTAGCGAAGTTTGGATCGTTTGTAGCGGAGAGTCGGAAGTCGATTTTATTGTGCTGTTAGATTGTTTCTTCTTGTTGAGAGTGTTCTGGAGGTTGCGGCAATGGCGACCTCCATGGGAAGCGGGGGCCTAGGTCCTAAGATTCTCTTGTCGAAGCCCGCGGCAGCTCGCGCCGAAGGCTCGGGCAGCAGCGGGCCGTCGGGCATCAAGCTGATGCGAGATCGCGACGACGATGGCGCTGGGAGACGGATGCCTCAAGTCTCCCTTAACGTGTTATCTGATTCCTGGGATTTGACCCCAGAGCGTTATCTTCCTGTAAGCAATTTTCTCTCATAATTCCTCAATGTGATTTTTTCTGTTTTTTGGCTCCCTCGAAGTGTGTTCCAAGTATGTGTGCATTGCTTCTGATCTCCATGGCTTCCTTTTTCAAACCCTTCCCATATGCTTGTGAGAGAGTAGGCTTTCATGTTGTAGCATGCACTCGGGACCCTGGAACATATTGAATCCTTTTGTGAAACAGTGCCCTGTCGACTTGCTCTCTGAATGTCTTGTTCTTTTCTGGAATGAGTTGAGGTCCACTCTCTCGCTATGTGATGGACACGGCCCATAATGATTTAGTTACTCTCGTATTCCTGTACTTTAGGTTATGATTTGATGATGTCATGGGTTTTATTTTGATTTGAGAAAAATGGGTTTGGCACTCACTGTGCACATCTTGATTTTTATTGAACATTTTATTTTTTTCTTGCAATTGTTGCCTCCCGTTTAGCTATCGACTGTTATATGTCTTATATAGAGCTACAGCTTATTGCAGACAATCAGGAGTTTATGGTGGTTGGCGTGCTTGGCCCTCCCGGTGCTGGGAAGTCAACGATTCTAAATGAACTGTATGGATTTGAATCAAGTTCTCAAGGTTTGTCATCTCCATTGCTAGCCGAATCTTAAAAACCATTTAGCGAAGTTCGACTTCATCTCATAGCATACCCAGTAATAAATACTTTCTTCGGTGAATTATAGATATTTACTCATGTCTTGCCGGTAATGTACTCTGGTAAAGGTATATTGCCGCCGTTCAACACTCAAACAGAGGATATACGGGCTATGGCGAGGCACTGCTCTGTCGGAATTGAGCTTCGAATGGCTGCTGAGCGTATCATCCTTGTTGACACACAGGCAAGTTGGCTTTTCACGTTTCCATTTCTCGTGTCAGTTTATCCCACAATGCTGGGACGCGTGAACATAGACATTTGAAAGTGTGTTACGAACGGGAGAGGCTTTTAAAGCTTTCTTATTTATCGTTTCTGTGAGCAATTGAGTCATGCGATTAACGTTGCATTGGTTGTAGGTGTTCATGATCTTTGGTCATTTCGTGAATACTAACGAATACGACTGTCGATGTTTCGTTTCATTGATTAAATGATGCAGCCACTTTTCAGTGCTTCAGTTCTTGTTGATCTCATGCGGCCTGATGGCACATCAAATATTTCAGTGATGGGAGGAGAAGTCATGTCTGCAGAGCTGGCTCATGAAATCATGGGGTTGCAGGTATGCCTTGTCCTTTCCTCTCGTTACTATTTTGCAAATGCTCTGGCAAGTATTATTGCAAATTGGCTCGAATGCAACCATTTGGAAGCTATGTATTTGTTAGTAACCATCCTTACATGGTTTGGTTTGGGTTTTTTTAAATTCCTAAGTTTTTTCTGGTATTGATGGGCTTAGGTTAGTTTGGAGTTTTACAGATTTCCAGTTGGAAGATGAATTGACTTTTATCTGTCGGTTCCGGGTTTTGCAAGGGATATTATTAGCTTGGCGTATTTTTGTTTTCGGTGTGCCATGTAGTTCTTTTGGTAACGGAAGGCACAGATGATGTCAGCATGTGGCGATATATGCGTACTGTAAGTGTTTTTTTCCCACTTGATCTATGTGGTTGAGCTTTTAAGTGCTTATTTGTTCGTTTCGGAAAGCGTTCACGAATTATCTTGTGTTCTTCGTATTCTTTTAAGGAAAACCTAAACCGCATTCAATCTGACAGATTGAGATGCTGAAGCAAGGAATACCTGATCCTTCTATTTACTCCCAGTCCTCTTCGGCATTTGAAAATAGCGGAGACAAGGACAACGATAGTTTGCAAGATGATCAGCTTGAACACTTCGCTGACGCAGTATTTGTGCACACCAAGTTCGTATTCAGCTCTTTTCATATTTACTAAATCTTAATTAGTGCATGGATATCAAGATCAATGGTGTGTTAGCTACAATTTATAATCTGCCTTGATACTTCATTTGATTGGTGGTGTATATGCTGAAGTATAACAAGTTCTTTTAAATGTGTTTTTGCATAGGTATGCAGAAACTGTTTTACTGTTATAACTACATGTCCGTGTAAATTTGTTGTGGTACCTAGATTACAGGATGTCAGTTACACGGAGATAAAATGTTTGGAGATGGCTCTTAATAGCTACTTCCCAAATCCAGCATTTAATAGGAACTCATTAATCCGATACGTAGTACCTCAATTCCCACCTCCTTCTGAATGGCACAAAATGAGTTCTCATCTCAAGGGGATGCAACCTATGCTGAAACCTGTGGAGAATGGTAGTGAGGCTACATCGATCAGAAAGTTACGAAAGCCCGAGAAGGGTGTTAATTTCTATGTGCTTCCATTGAAAGTTTCGGGCGATGTCGTTCAAAACACATATGAGAGCTACCATGTGATGCTTCAGCAACTTCGCAACCAGGTTCCTTGCGCTTCCTTCGCCTTGGTTGGGAGACTCATTTTATTTCATGATGCTGTTCAGGATATCGCTTACAGCTATAGCAGATTACTTCGTACGCTTTCTGTCTCCTATTTTGCAGCTTGTGGTGCACAAGTAAAAGAGAGTTTTAAGGCCCACTTTCTCTTTGCAGGTTCTTTCCTTGCAGCGGCGTTCTTTTTCTAAACCCTTATTTGAGCGGGATTGGCTTAAAGTGTTGCCTCGTATCTGGGATCTTGTGAAGAAGTCTCCAGTGCTTGCAGAGTACTGCAAAATGCTGCAAAGTTCGGGGCATTTCAGGAGATGAACAGCTGGAGAACCCTCAAGGATGCATTGTACACACTGAAACACTACACTGTCGTGAAATTAACATGGAAATTTTTGCAATTAATGAGCAGTGTGAACTGTGCGCGCTTTGAATGATTGTATTCCTTCTTTTGTCATCACGCCTTCATTGCATTCTCAATTGCGAAAGTGTTGGTTGACTTTCCATCACCCACTTGACGGCCACTTTAGCAGTCTGGCAAGCAATGAGGACGACTTTTTGAGCAGATGCCCGTTACTGGTACTTATTCGTTGCTCTGTGCACATAACTCGTGCTTTTTATAGCTGAAGCAGCTCACTCTGTTCTAAACTTATCTCAATCACCTCTCAGGACGTTGTAAGCTATTGGTAGGGACTCTTGATAGGCTGTCCCTTACGATCCCCGTGTCGTATTGCAAGTTGGAGTCCGCTGGAAGTATACAAGTTGCGAACCCTAAATGCTTTTAGTCTCGTGCTGAACAGTTAGATTTCTTTTAATGAAAACAGATCGATCATCAGGAGTAGTAGTTAGTTTGGAGAATTCGACTTGTAGAGTAGGAAACAGTGAGAGCGGGCCATGTGTTTCGTCCCTACTATGCCTCGTTTTTTCCTACGAATGGTACCCAAAATCACAATTCCTCAAGTGCTTTGACTGTTTTTCGCATTTGCTCTTCTCTACCTTTTCCCGGGCCATTCCGGGTTGTATCTCTGTGTTGATACTGCATCATATTTCACGAAGCAGACAAATAGTGGGGGGAATAGAATGGTTTCTATTGAGATCATTATTAAATGTAGTTGGTGCTCTCCATAATATTTACTGTAGACTATAGTAAATACAATAGCTACAGTATTTAGAGTCTAGCGGAGAAGTACTATTTATCCTCTCTCCTTTTTTTCTTGTTGTATACGAGACACAATCAGATCAATAGAATTTTATGTGTGAAGCTCTCTCTCCTTAGAAATCCTTTTGAGTGTATGACTTACTACTACTCTTGTGTGTGTGTATTACTTACTATTACTCTTGTGTCTTTCTAAACATTTTCAACACATTATTAGTACAACTCTCTTCTACACACTATCACAATTTTTTTGCTCTAGTCTTGAATCTTCAAACCTATTGCTATTCCTGCTCAATGTTTGCTTCATGATCTTGCTGCTCTTCTTGCTAGCCTTTCACATATTAGTTGCTTGCTTAGAGCACTTGTTCCACTCTCTGCCCTGCTTGCTTAAAATACTTGCTTAGAATACTTGATCTAGCCAAGCTTCATCCCAGCTTGTTCCCTACTGCTCCTCGCGCCTGCCGCCAAGTTGTCATTGAGCTACTGCAGAGCTATTGCCGAACTGCAGCCGAGCCCGCCGTTGCCACCCTGCCGCCCTCCGTCAAGCCCTGCTGCTCTATCACTGTCGCCCGCCACTGCTTGCTGTCGCTGTCCTACTACTATTCTGTTGCCTTAATCCACAATATCTTGTATAAAAAAATAATAATAATAATAATATTTTTTTTTCAAGCTCAAGTTTATCATTTTATTTGACTTTATATTTTAAGGTACATTTTATTCAACTTTTCTACTTGATTTTGTATTTTCTTTACAGATTTATTTATAATGAAAGCTTCAACATCTTCAACTATTTCCACTATGGTTCCAACTATTATCAGTGCATCCCAACATTTTCAAGCTTTTTTATTTCCACCATTGACTATGGATAGAAACAATTATCTATTATAGACAAAAATGGCAAAAGTAAATTTATTTGCAAAACAACTCTCGGATACCATTATGTTTGAAGAATCTCCTATAATAAGTATTTCTATTCCTCTTACTATTCATTGGAAAGTACTTCTTCTCCTTCATCGTCATCTTATATCTGCATTACAACATCAATACTTGGAAATGGAAGATCCTGCAGAACTTTGGAAGAATCTTAAATCCAAGTTTGATCATCAAAAGACCATTTTCCTTCCATGCACATGTCATAATTGGACACATTTACATGTCTTGGATTTTCCAAATTTAAATGCTTTCAATAGTGAAATGTATAGTATTGTATCACAATTACGATTATGTAGACAAAGTATCTCTGAAGAAGAAATGATTGAGAAAACTCTCTCTACATTTCCTCATGTACCTGCGGTGCTTGCACAACAATATAAGAACATGAAATTTCAGAGTCATTCAGATCTCATGTCCTATCTATTTCTTGCGAAGAAGCAAAATGAGCTACTCTTGTGCAATGCGGAAGCTCGTTCTATTGGAACTACAATTCCAGAATCTCATGCACTTAATATTTCAAAATCTAAGAAAAAATTATATAAACATGGAAAACGTCCTTATAAGTATCAGGGTAGTGATAGTCATGACCATTTCTACCCATATCAAAAGAATAAACGTTCTACTATTAATTATAGTAGAAAATAAAAATTAAAGATGTGTTCTTGCCATAAGTGTGGAATGATTGGACATTTAGCACATGTGTGCTGTACTTTATAATATTTTATTAAAATATTTGAAAAAAATATGAAACGACGAGCTAAGGCTCATGAGGTTTATATCATGGATGCGTCGATGGATTCAATTGGTGTTGATGACTTAGAGGCTTATATGAATGACAAAACCTCTAATGATGAATCAAATGATGTGCTCATTGATTCTGCAACAAAACATATTATCTTGTGAGATAGATGATTTTTTATTGAAAAATCTTCAACTTGGCAAACTATAAATATGATGACCATGGCTGGAACAAATGCATTTTGTTTTCAAGAAGGCACAGCAATGGTAAAATTACTTGTGGATTCGATTATAAAACGTAAACATGCAATGTTTGCACACTCAGCACCTCGGAGTCTGATCAGCTATCGAGATGTGCGTATTAATGGTTATCACGTCTCGACCACCATTTTAAATAAAGAAGAGGTTTTGGTTCTTGCAAAGAACCATAAAGTTATTGAAAAAGCTTTTGCTACAAAAAATGGTTTATACCGAATTGTGATTCACCCTCCTATTATATTTAATTTTGCATCATCTATCATAGAGAGTCGTGTTTCCCTCTAATATGGACGATTGGGACATCTAGGATCTCCATTATTTAGAAAGATCATTCCATGTATAACTAAGCAAAATTTAAAGCATGCGAATATAGACTCTATAGAATTATGTTGTGCATGCGTGCAAGATAAAATGATTACTCGGCCTTCAGTTTGGAAACTTCTACAAGAATTACCACGAATGCTTGAAAGATTGCATGGTGATATTTGTGGTCCTATTAATCCAATATAGGAACCATTTCGTTATTTTTTGGTCTTTGTTTATGCATCAGGTAAACAATCACTGTTTCATTATTATCAATTCAAAACATGGTCTTTGCCAATCTTATATCTATACTTATTCATTTTCGAGGACATTTTCTTAATTATCCTATAAAAACATTGCATATAGATAATGCAAAAGAGTTTGCATCAAAATCTTTTGAAGACTATTGTACTGCAATAGGAATTGAATTGACATATCGTGATCCATATGAATATGCTCAAAATGGACTTGCAGAGTCATTTATAAAGTGTATAAAATTCATTATTCGGCCATTCCTCCTCCATGCAAATTTACCTGCATCAATGTGAGGTCATGCAGTTTTACATATTGCAGCATTAATATGCCTCCGCCGTTCTTCTCTTGAAATTGTTTCACCACATGAGTTCATTTCGGGTCGTGTTCCAAATGTATCTCACTTACAAATATTTGGTTGTCGTGCTTGGATTCCAGTACCAAAACATCAATGGCGTACCATTAGAGCTCATCGACAAGAAGGCATATATGTTGGTTTTGATTCACCAAGCATTATTCGTATTGTAGATCCATCAAATGGCATATTATTATGTGCACGTTCGAAAAAAATTTGTTTTGAAGAAATTGTATTTCCATCTCTTCAACGAGGAATATCCAATCAACAAAGAAATAAAGTACTCATATTTAAAGCATTAGAAACGTTTACAATGAATCCCGATCCTATGTCAAAGAGAAGAACTCGATGAAAAAATAATTCAGACAAGTGAGTCTTCATTCAAAGAGAGGTAACAAAATATATATAAACAAGTATATATATTGAAAGAGGAACTGGAATGGCTATTGCCAAAAGACAAGAAAACTAGAGACCCTTGAAACTAGACTAGAAGCAAGAAAGGAGTTGACAAGAGTGAAGAAGCCTTCACTCTTGTCTCTATATATACTATCTAACTAAGAGCTACGTGGCGACGTTCTATAGGACCTCCAATATGTGTTGACTTTGTAGGGCACATACCTTGACTTACAAGGCAAGTTTTTCTACGTGTGGGCCACATAGTTAGCTTGATCTTCAAGCTAACAACATGTGTGGCACATGGCCAACTTGTTGACCACGTTTCTAATCCAAAAAGTCAATTAAAGACACTTATGAAGTCAAAGCACCATCTAGGAAGTTTCTAAGAAGCTTTCATATTAAATATTATAGAATTAACTTACTTTTACCTACTTTTACTTACTTCTACATATTTCTATATGTAATTATTAGCTTAAATGATTATCGCCGTGACATGATCCCCCCTTCTAGGGACGAATTCCACGAGGAGCGGTCATCATATGTTGAGGAAATCTATGATGTGACGAATTATATTCGCCACATACTCTGATCTCTGTTCTCTTCGAAGATGATTGATAGGGCCTTTCAAACATCGGTAGTGTCCCATACCAGAGCAAGAAGACCACCCAGTTATTTGATCATTGTTGAGGCCTTCATAACTTCTTTCGAATAGAATATTTAGAATACCATCAGGAATTGTTCCTACCTCTAGCAAAATCACCAAACATCTGGATTCCCTTCCCAAATCGTGATACCAGACGCATTGTATTTCACCATCTATTCGAGGAAGAACATGTCGTTCTTGAAGATCTTCATCTCGATTGCATCGTCTTGAAGGTTGTGACAATTGTAATGCTTCGTCTGGTAGGTCAGCAAATAAAGGCTCTTGAGTTGAATCCGCTCGTTGTTGGTTCTCCATCTCCTGAGCGCCACTACTACAATGAAGCTACGAACAAGAATTGAAAGTAGAATGTT